TTGCATTAAAAAGAGGATACTTTAATTAATAATTGGTGATGTTTCCACAAGGATCCTTCAAGAAATGAATTTTATAGCGAATTTTGAAAATTATCGATGAAAATTATAACATCGAAAATTTTCTCAAAACTTCAAATATTGTTTTCTCAAAAACTAAAAGTTATTTTTCAAAACGGGTTGGTTCATTGGAAAGAGGACACTTTTATTAACACTTTGGAAAATTTTGATACTCGTATTCCAAGAACTGGATTTTATACGAATTTTTAAAACTTAATCGGCGAAAATTGCAAAATTCGAAAAAATTGGCGTATTTCAAAAATTTATGTCTCAAGAACTAAAGGCGATTTTTCAAAGCGCCTTTTTGCATTAAAAAAAGGATATTTTAATTAATAATTGGTGATATTTCCACAAGGATCCTTCAAGTAATGAATTTTCTAGCGAATTTTGAAAATTATCGATGAAAATTCAAGGAATGTCGAATCTTATCATACTTTTCACCGATACAGTAGAACATTTAAAAATTTTTTCTCTTAAACCGATCCATTACGTGGTTTACATATTCAATTTCTACAGATAACTTAATTATTCCGAACCGATTTATTATTTATCAATCTCCTTTATTTTTCAATTGTTCGTAATTAATGATAAAACTCGTAATCGTTTCAATTAGAACATTCTGCGATTATATTAAGGCTGGTTTACGTTTGAATCGCTATAAATCGTGGGCAAATTTCCAAAATTATATCAGTAGTTGTTTTAAACTGCACACATACAGTGCAGTTTATACATACAGTTGTTTACTAAAATCGATCAAAATGTTTCAAATCTTACTGTTTGAAATCACTATATTGTTCATTTTACCAAATAATGTTGTTAATTGTGATGGACGATATGCAATTAAAACGGAAGGATGTGTGATACCCGATTTCAAGCCGTTCAATCAGCAAGTAAATAAATATCTCCGAGAAACTTACAATATGCGGGTATGTAATCAAGGACGTCCTGCTTTGATGGCATCCAACTCAACATCGATATATTTTATAAAAGACGCGATCCAATATTATGATATAATTATAATTGATGATTTGGTATGTAGTTACACACCGTTTCGTAGAATACCTCCTAAATTGGATGGAAAAGAAGATAATAACTTTGAATATTTAACAACAATTTATTTTTTTCCATATTCTGATCATGTTGTTGTAGAAGATGAATTTATAATGGTTGAATGTTTTTATAAACAAAAACTGATTTATACGGATTTCTTTGCTTTCGTACCTTTAAAAAGTTCGTACGCCGTGCGAAATGACGAGGATTTTAATGTATTATTAATGGGTTTTGATGGTACATCTCGGTTAAATTTTTACCGACATTGGCCACACACTAGAGATGTGTTACAACAATTCGGTGCTGAAGAATTATTCGGATATAATAAAGTTGGTGGTAATAGTTTTGCAAATTTAATGCCTCTGTTGGCTGGAGTATCTTTTAGTGAATTGAGGGAACTGTGTTGGCCGGAAAATACGACGTATTTTGATGATTGTTCATTTATTTGGGATGTATACAAACGGAACGGATATGTAACAGCCTATGCAGATGATACATTTGAACATGGTCTTTTTCGTGATTCAGGTTGTATGGGATTCAAAAGGGAACAACACACCGATTATTTGTTCGATTATTTTATAGCATTAGCTGAATTGAAAATTGGAAACAATAAAGAGGGATATTTTTATAATTGTATTGGATCAAGAGAAACTTACAAAGTTTTTTTAAATTATATTGAACAATTTCTTGATAGAATGAGTAGACATCGATTGAAATTTTTTGGTAGTTTTTTTGAAACTGTTATGTCGCATGATAGTATTTTTAAGCCAAAAATTTCAGATACCACCATATCATTGTTTTTTAATAGTACACTAATGGAGAAAATACTTGAAAATACAATTTTAGTAGTTTATAGCGATCACGGGGCACGTTTTGGTAAATTCAGATACGGTTCATTTCAAGGCTTTATTGAAGATTTGCTGCCGTACATTGCATTTTATTTCCCAGACTCATTCAAAAATCGTTACAAATCGCTTTATGACAATTTTAAAATTAATAGGTACAGATTAACAACACCATATGATATTCACAAAACTTTGTTGGATTTATTCCAACTCAGTGATACGACTCAAACTCAAACAACTAATATTAGATACTCTAAATACTACAGTTTGTTTGAAAAAATACCCGAAAATCGTAATTGCGACGACGCCAACATTCCTTTAGAATATTGCGCTTGTGGATATAGCACACAAGTTGAAACAATATCTGAAACGTTTGATTGTTACAAGTCTGCATTACTGATTGTTGATACAATCAATAAAATGATACCACAAAATAAATGTTTAAAATTACGGTTGCATAAATTGTTGTCTTCTCGAGTAGAAATTGTGAACGCTACCACTGCGTATTACACAGTGGCAGTTGAAACTTTACCGAGCAAGGCGATTTTTGAGAGTAAAGTAAAAGTGTTGAAACTAACGAAATCTACGTCTTTCAAAATAATGGGTGAAATCGCTCGATTAAATCGTTATGGAAATCAAAGTGAATGTGTGAAGGATGATTTTAAATTAAAATTGTATTGTTTCTGTAATATTATATAAATAAAGAAATTTTATCCAAACCAATTTGATTAATTTATTGAAGTTATAACCATAACTTAATCATACAATTTATCTTTTATTCTTCTTTATTTATTTATTTCCAAAATAAACAGGGTTTCCCCTAATTACAGATTTCGGAATTATTACATAATAATTAAACAAAATTGAACTAAATATTAAACTAAATTAAATATTAAACTAAGCCGTACTCGATTTGTAAGCAAACAATAAAAAAGCAAATAAGTAAAAAGAAACAAAATGATACAAAATAAAACAATAACGGAAAACAGAATAGAGGAATGGAACAGAATGCGCGAAGAATTATGAACTATAACAAGAATCTATAAGATCAGCTACTGCACTGGGCGGTTGCAACGTTCATCACAGACATCAAATTCTTTTTTACTGTTTTTACATCAACGCCAAATAGTGGGATGAAGGAAGCCATAGATAGTTTGTTATATAACAAGAGAATTCTAATAAAAGGAGAATGTCTTCTGAGTTCAGTGGTAAAGCGGGGAATGTAAAATAGATTTTTCGATCGTCCACAATATGCCGGCACGTAAAAACCAATCTTTTCCAAGATTAAAGGTGCATCTATTTTATTGTTTAATATTTTACATAGAAAACAAAGCGATATGATTTTCCTTCTAATAGATAACTTAGTTATATCAAATAATGTACGCGCAAATTCGTACGATCTGAACCCGATAAAGGCATTAAATTGTTTGTAATAAGTATACCGAATAAACTTATTTTGAATAATTTCGATTAAGTTTGAATAAAGGTCTGATCCAGGATCCCATACAATTACCGCGTATTCTAATTTAGATCGCACCAATGAATTGAATAATAATTTTAACGTCTCCACATTTGAAAAACTATAAGCATTTCTTATAATAAATCCTAAGAGTCGAAGTGCTGCGGAAGTTATGGTTTTCACGTGCTCGGCAAAGCATAAATTGTTGGTAAAAATAATACCTAGGTCCCTCTTTCTGACAACTGATTTCAAATTTATATTATCTATTCTGTACACAAATTCTATCGGCTTCCTCCCCAAAAAATATGTCATTGATTCACATTTGGCCACGTTAAAGTGAAGCTTGTTCAGCCGACACCAATCGCATACATTATCCAGATCAGACTGTAAGGACTGGCAGTCACTTATATCACGAACAGATGTGAATATTTTCAGATCGTCCGCAAAGAGTAAGCATCTAGATGGATTAATTAGCAAAGGTAAATCATTTATGAATAATAGAAACAATAAAGGTCCCAGATTGCTTCCCTGCGGAACCCCTGAATCTATCCCCAACACATCTGAGAGTGTGTTTTTATATGTGACATAGTAATTCCTATTGGATAAGTACGATACAAAGAAATTAAGAGTTGGATAAGAGAAACCATAAAGCGCCAGCTTGCGTAGAAGGGTATCGTGATCGACCTTATCAAACGCCTTTGCAAAATCAGTATATATAACGTCAACTTGACTTTTTGTATCTAACGCTCTGGACACATAGTCAGAAAAGATACACAAATTGGTCTCGACAGAGCGGTTAGGAATGAATCCGTGTTGGTCAATATGTAACGCAATTTTAACATGATTAAATATTCTGTGATAAATTATTTGCTCGAAAACTTTTGCGAAACAAGAAATTACCGAAATAGGTCTGTAATTCTTTATATCGCCCGTGTGGCCTGATTTATGAATTGGCGTAACCCTTGCAAGTTTCCATTGATTTGGAAATGTATTTGTTGAAATTGATAAGTTAAAGATGATATATAAGGGTGTTAGAAACGATTCTTTGCAGCCTTTAATAATATACGAGGAAACTCCGTCCGGCCCCTCTGTACGTTTTGATTTTAGCTTAATTATAGCATCATCAATCTCCTTCATTGAAATAGGTTGTAGACTAAATAAATTTAAAGCACTATTACTGATAATTTCGTCATAGAAAGAAAGAGAATAATTCAATGTAGGCCCATACACAGATTTAAAATAATCTGAAAATAAGCAGAGCTGACGTCTTTAGCAGATGAGATTGCGGGGCTAATGCTTTGATAGTAGCGAGAGGAAGTTTTAGGAAAACCAATGTCTTCAACAACAAAATTTTATTTACAACAATAATAACAATAATGTAAGTGCGGACGCGAAAAGGGTAACTGCTGACTGATCTGCCGATGGCAACTACTAACTGATAACTGATGGTAACTGAACTCTCCGGGCCGATCCTGGTTCCTTTTATCCCCGAGTCCAGTAACATCCCCGGTGAAAGTTCTTTTCAAGTCCTTGTCTGGACCAAAAGGATCTGCTGTCCAGATGTACGGAGAGAGTTCTTCTGAATAGATTCGAACGCTTTCTGGCGTCCAGATGTTCGCCACGGAGAGCGTCCAGTAACATCTCCGGTGAAAGCTTTCCGGGAACCCTTTGCCTGGACCAAAAGGGTGTCCTGCCCAGATGACTGGAGAGAGATTTTTTTGAACGGTTTAGAAAGTTCTCTGGCGTCCAGATGTTCGCCACAGAGATATCCCCGTTAAATTGAATCTGGCTTCGATTGAAACTATCTCTTTTGTTAGAAACATAGTTCCAGAATGCCTTTGGGTCTGCCTTAATATTGTTTTCCACACTTCGTGTATAATTGTCGTATGCTACCCCAATATTGCGCTTGACCCTGGCCCTAATTTCCTTATATTTATTTAAATGGTGATCTGACTCGGTTTTGCGCTTAAGAAGAGTGTTTTTCGTTCTAATATCTTTTATTATATCCCGGCTAAACCACACTGGGTATTTATTAACTCCGATTTGTTTTACCGGAACGCAAACAGCCAGAATCTCGTACAATACGCCATAGAACGCGGCAACTGCATTATCAACGTTATCATAGATGCTTATAAAAGAAAAATCGGTGCTGTATAGTCGGTGATGTAAAAGCAAGAAATTCGAGTTCTTATAATCATTAATGTAATGCGCTGGTACCGTTACCTTTTTACAAGATTTAAAAGAAAATTTAATTTCCAAGGAAGGATGATGATGGTCTCCCTCAACTAACGGGGGATCAAAAGGTCCAACGTCAAGCACAAAACTGGCTGAAAAAATCTACTTAAGATTTCGAATTAAACTTGTTCTAGATATTCCCTTTTTCAGAGATATTTTAACATACAGGGTGTCACACAAAAAACGCCCCAAGCTGTAACTCTGTCATTTACATTCCGATTTTCATGAGCGGGTTATCAAATGAAATGGTTTCATGAATACTATGATTCATGCTACAAATAAATTTTTTCCAAGGTCGTCTTCAATTTTAAGCGATTATTAACTTTTGCNCTACTGCATTATCAACGTTATCATAGATGCTTAAAAAAGAAAAATCGGTGCTGTATAGTCGGTGATGTAAAAGCAAGAAATTCGAGTTCTTATAATCATTAATGTAATGCGCTGGTACCGTTACCTTTTTACAAGATTTAAAAGAAAATTTAATTTCCAAAGAAGGATGATGATGGTCTTCCTCAACTAACGGGGGATCAAAAGGTCCAACGTCAAGCACAAAACTGGCTAAAAAAATCTACTTAAGATTTCGAATTAAACTTGTTCTAGATATTCCCTTTTTCAGAGATATTTTAACATATAAGACACAGATATGTTCTTCTTCTTCTTCACAATGATAAGGCTTGGCAATGGGATTTAGAAACTTGTCCTTATTACTTCCCAGTCACTGCGTTTAAATTGCGTATTGTTATTCTAGTGCGCTGTTTCTATTTACTATACTAAAAGGCAATCAACAAAAGTCCCGCGTATCTCTATGCATAAATGCATAATTCTATGCATAATTCTCTATGCATAAATACAAAAACATTGCGATATTCTACATATCTATCAAGCTACTATTGAACCAAAGCATTTCAAATGTAGCAATGATTATAAAATAAAAATAAAACAAAAGCCATGCAATTCATGCAATTTCCATGCAAAAGGAAAACGGAAACATATACATAAGCTCTTCTCGAGTCTAAGGGCTGAGACTCATTTCACATAGGTCTCGCGGACAGGAATGATAGGTATTATTTCTGGAGCACAAGAAAAGAATGAACACAAAAAATTAAATAAGTAAAATACATAAAATAACGAATTCTAAGTACGTTTTATCTTCCCTATCTAATACCTTCATTAAATAAACTTTTTACACTTAATAATAAAATAATATACAGTGTGACCCATTTGAAAGCGGAGCATCCTTCTAAAATCTGTATTTATTACCAGATTTCGACAATTTTTTTTTTGAATTGTAGAGCGTAAGAAACTGTACCTTAGGTCAAAGAGTAATATTTTTTTTTAAAAAACCAAGGCCTAACCAAGGAAAACTTTTTAGGTGCAAAAAATGAAGAAATCATATAAGGAAATTTTTTACAAAAAATCTGACTGATGTGATCTACAAATTAACACCGTTCAGACAATTGAAAAATATAATTTTTTATAAATTATTTAGTTTTTGTATTATTGTCTGTGTTTTATTAACTTTTTTGTCATGGTTTACTAGATCAAATCAAATAAATTCATAAAAAATGATATTTTTCAATTATCTGCAACGGTTTTAATTTCTAACCATTTTTGGTGAAACTTGGTATATGCCCATTTCAAAAGGCACTTAATGCAGTGGTGTACTCAGATTTTTCAAAAAATTTCCTAATATGATTTCTTTATTTCACCACCTAAAAAGTGAAATAGTAGGCCTTGGCTTTTCTAAGAAAAACATGCCTCTTTGTCCAAAGGTACAGTTCTTTATGGTCTACAATTCAAAAAAAATTGTCGATATCGGATAATAAATACAAATTTTACGAGGGTGCTCCGCTTTCAAATGGGT